AAATATTTTCATTTGGGGGTAAGATCAAACTAAATTCTCCATCTTTCAGCTCCGTCCCATCACCCTTCCAGACCCTGCAATGTACCCAGCGTCTGTCCCAGTCAGGAGCTGCACCGGGAGTAAACCACGTGGGACATAAAGGATGAAAAAAATCAAATTTGGGGCAGTAAACACCCAGCCTTGACCCCACCAAGCAAGGTCAGAGCACTTCCATGTCTATTTACCCTCCTGGATATAATTTTTCCTGCTTGGGCTCACAGCACAAGGCTCAAAGTGATTATTTTTTTGTAAGAAGGAGGTTTGTGCTGATATCTTGGGCGCATCCCTGCCCCTTCCACCTCACATTCCCGAGGGGAAGGTTGAGGGACAAAGCGGATTTTTGAGGAATTGGGCCAGGGGAGTGCAGAGGGTCTCTGCTTCCTGCGAAACCAGGGCGATTCCCATTGCGCCTCCGCGCCCCGTTTGCACAAATGAGTTTCTTAAAAAAGCAGATGAGAAATGAGCTGAGGAATTGTCACACAGGGAGGGGACAGCCGTGGTCACACTGACACGGGGTGGGGGTGGCACCGAACAGAGAGGGGCAATGGGGGGGCTGTTTCTGCCCCCTCCCCTGGTGTTTGCCCCTGGTGCTGTTGCCCCCCCCTTGCACCCTTGTGATTCCAGGAGGAAAAAGGGGAGAGGGGTCGGAGATTTTTGGGGAGCCCATCACCGTCAAGGCCGCGGTGAACTGCTGAGTGAATTAGCGATGGCAAAACTGCCCAGAAACCAAAAATAAAACAACCCAACAGCCTCCAAAGTGACAACAAAACCAAACCCTGGCATGCCTGGCGGGAAGAGAGAGCGGGGTGGTGAGGAGGGGCGGGAAGGGCTTCAAATTAAATCGAAATCTAAGGAGCTGATGCTGGCAATGGGAGCTCGCCAGAAGTTAAAGCTGTTGAACTGCAGCAGACTGTCCTCTTCCTGGGAGACGTCCTGGCTGCCCCGGTCCCCGAGCTTGCCCAGCCCTCCCTTGGGCTTGTAGAGGGCCATGTCTGCGAGCCCCAGCCCCTCCAGCTCGGCCATGTCCAGCCGCGGGATCGGCATCCTCCAGTAGATGAAGGAGTCGTACTGGCTGCTGATGGTGTCCAGCATTTTCAGGCTGTGAAGGGCGTGAGGGGAAAGAAGAGGAAGAGAAAAGCTCTACCAGAGACACGGGAGTTGCCCCAAAGTGGCCAGAAATCTGCGGTGTTGCCGTGCTGACCCTGTCCCGTAGGATGATCCCCCGGGAGGAGCTGACGGTGGAGGAGAGCGTGGGGTCGTGCAGGTTTGACTAAAGGCTGGGTCTAGCTGTAGGCTCGAGCTCTGACAGAGTTTTATCCACAGCCTTGGGCACAGCCCTTCTCTGTGCTGTGATTTGGAGGGGGCCTAAGGGACTTGTCATGCCGTGCCTCAGTTTCCCCTACCCAAACAGCCCGGGAGGGGAGGGCAGGGTGGGGATATTCCCCTTCCCAGCTGCTCTGGGGAGCTGAGGTGGGAGAGCAGCAGCCAAAGGAACTCTTTTTCCACCACCTGCACACCGGTGTCTCCCTCTCCCTGTGCTGAATCCCCATGGAGTGGGTAGAGAGGGGGGGTCCCTGTGCAGCCCCCTCCCCCCCGACCCCACCCCATCCCTCCCTCCCAGGACCGAACCCTCTGGAAAGGGCTGGAAGGAGCCTCGCCCAGCATTCCCACCACACCCCACCCATCCCTGCCGAGCCCTCCATCCATCCCCGCTGCAGAATTCCCCCTGCAGCCCCACCCCAGTCCACCAAAAACTGGGAAAGAGCAGGACAAGACATGGATCAGCTTCTTCCGCGGCAGGAGCTGAGTCACTGCCTGGCAGGATTATGTCATTCACCTCCTCGACTGGCATCGGAGGTGGGGAAAAAGCAGACTAACCCAAAACATCCTCATTTTCCTGCTGATTCCCTGTCTTGAATCTCGGAATTCAGAGTTCTCAAGGATGATTCAGGCATACTTTGGATCGTGCCCTGTCTGTGCCATGAGGGCTGATCAGCTGCTAAATTTAAGGTTCTGGATGTCACTCAGAATCTATGAAAGGCTCCTGTGTCACCCCCTCCGGGTAAACTGAGCCACAGGACTTTAAAATAGTCTCTTCCCTGGGAATTTTTCCCTGGGGGTCCATCCCTAGGGATCTGTCCGTGAGTTTCTTGCAGCACAACAGCAGAGAATTATTAATGGTGAGGGGTGTTGCAGACATGGATTTTTAAGCTTCAAAGGGTCAAAAATTGGAGTTTAGCGACAAGAGAGGGGGCAAAAGAGTTTAGTGACAAGCAAAATAATCAAATACCCAGTAAGGGGGAAAACCCCTCTTGTGTCGCGTGTCACCCCTAAAAAAGAGCATTTCCCATGGGATCAGTGTGGTCTGCTCATCCCATGGAAGCAAAACCACCTTTATCCACTCAATCCCCACGGGCTGTGGCTTATTTCCCCCCTCAAAAAAATCCCGACACCCCCCCCCCCCCCCCC